AGAAACCAATCGATCAAATTCGATGATTTTTTTTTATTTGAATTCTACAGAACCATAGAATTTAAATAAAAAATTTTCATTGAATTTGATCATTTGGTTGCCGAGATATCTTCGATCCAAGTTTTGTAAACAATTTCGGCGCAGTTACTATGTAACATATGTTTTGAAAATTTTCTTAAACTTTGATCGAAGATATCTCAGCATCCAATTGATCAAATTCAATGAAAATTTTTTTATTCAAATTCTACATTTCTGTAGAATTCAAATAAAAAACTTTTCATTGAATTTGATCATTTGGTTGCTGAGATATCTTTGATTAAAGTTTTGTAAACAATTTCGGCACAGTAACATATGTTTTGAAAATTTTTTTAAACTTTGATCGAAGATATCTCGGCAACCAATTGATCAAATTCGATGAAAATTTTTTTATTTGAATTTCACAGAACCGTAAAATTCAAATAAAAAAATTTTCATTGAATTTGATCATTTGGTTGCTGAGATATCTTTGATCAAAGTTTTGTAAACACAGTTTTACTATGTTAATTGATTTTCGTTGTATGAAAGCAATAGCGAATCACAGCTTAGAATTATTTATTGATCATCACGTGATCGACACCGCCATTCAACACCGCTAATCTACTTTATAAAGAATGGTTTGATGCAGATATCGAGATTGGAATAAACTTTGTAAAGGTATGAATATTAGAATTGTGTGATTTAACAGTTAGTATTAACTGCTAGTAGTAATTTCAGCTGCTGTGAAAGTCTAATCTGAAAATGTATAGAATATAGAAAGATTAAGAAGATATATATTACACCTCTCTAGGATAATTTGGTAATATAAGAACTCTATTGGGTTATCTATAGAATTAAAACACAAGTAGTATAGTACATGTTGATCTGAATAGCTTTTAATTGAAGTAGCATGAAGTTATAGCTGATGTAATTAAGGTGGTGATGCAAGACAGAAGACATCAGAAAGTTTAAATAGGTAATCTCCTAGTTAGGTTACAGATATGGCATATAGTGTAGAACCTTTGGGTGGACTACTTAAATAAGCAACCAAAAGTTGTATATGTAGCTAAATATACTCTCAATAACCAAGAATGTACTATTAAAATACCTAATAAAAATTCACCTGTTCATGACATTGCAAAGGTATAAAAAAAAAAAAAAAAAGAATACAATTTTAGACCAAATTAGGGCTAGATAGATATAAAGACCCAAATTTTAGTTAGAGTTAAGTTTTAAGGGTTCTAACCATTTACTTAGTATTCTAATATGGTTTTGAAATACAATACCCCAGTAATATTGCCACCGGCGATAAATAGCAATATTCTTTAATAAAAATTGATAAATTAAGATATTTTTTATAACATTTTTTCACATCAGTTTTGTAATAGTAGCAAGTAGCAATTCTAAAAATTGCTATATACCGTTTGCCACTGCTATAGTATTCCCAAAAATAATATCCGCATGATTAAGACTTGGTATTATTCATCATCCCTACTGGCTTGTTTCTTGAATAAGACCCGGCGTACAACTAAATTGATTTACTACTTTTAATATGATATATCCCCAAATACAGTACCCAGTTCTTCACAGTACCCACGGGTACTATTTAATTTTAGAAATGGAGTTCTTGAATAAGACCCTGGGTACTGTAGGCAGTGGAAACGGTAATTGCCTGTCTTATCTAATTTTAAATAATATATAAATGCTTTATACTTAATTATTTCAATTCTAATTTTTAAATAATAATGAATCTCTTATATTTTCAGTTTCTAACCCATATTCGTAACCATAAACAAGCCAGAATATTACATCCAGATTATTTTATTGGGATTTTAACAGACAATAAAATTCTATTGGCTAAAGGCATTTAAAATAATTTTATTAAAATATCGAATATAATGCTTTTTAGCAAATATATAATTTATTTTAAAGTACAGTTTTATTTAGTACAAGTCTTTCAATACTTAGAAAAGTATGTTGTGCCACTAACCTGAAGTTGCTACATTAGGCACCTAATGTAAAGTGCATAATGTAACAAAGTAGCAACTCTGAACACAAGGACATCAAGGTTTTTTTAAACAAAGATAAAATATATATTTTTTCAAAAAATTTTTGTTTTTTACTAATTTCTATGTTATATACCGTATATATCATATAAACTAATCCGAAATGTTTTTGTCAATAGATCAGTCGTATATCAGATTTGGTTAGCCCGCAATACTAGTACTTACCATTATGATAAATGTTGATATTATGCCCTAACGCTAACGGATTTGTCCAGAATTACGGATAATGAATGATCGTTAGCAAAATTAAATATTTAAGAGGTAAATAATATTATAAAAAAATAAATTTAATACATAGTAGAAATTGCCAGCAATTAGTATTGTTTTTCTATAGTGTTGGAAAACAGCTAGCTTACAATGAAACGTTTTTTATGCTAAGTAAACTTCTCATGAGTTCTAACAAATACTGTAGATCAGTTTAATAGATCGTGACTTATTGGTACCGTATTCTAGCGTAAATAAGTATCATTCCCTCTACCTATTTTTTTAAATGTCAGATTAGCGGAAATCGCGATGAGATCTTTAGCAAAGTTATTCCTGATAATCTGACATTTAAAAAAATAGAGTAAAGAGGATAGTGATTATTTACGGCATTCCACACTATGAAATAATAATAATTCTCCGCCGACTTTTACATACCATGAAATTTGTATATTTAAATTGCGATTTACCACTTAAAATATTTATGATATACTATAGTTTTTTGTATCCAAATAATAATACAGAAGTAATATCCTAGTATATTAAGTATTACTATTAAATTATCTTAAATAATATATAATTTTTAAATAGTTGAATCCTTGGAGCATTGGCAATAACAATTTCACCCTATTTTAAACGCTATCATTCTTATGATTCTGGAATTTTTTTATAATAACAATAATAAAGACCCTGTGGATTACATAACCAGAATTATAATTTTTTTGCATAGTCTTAAAGTATTTTATTTGGTTATTCAAAATATTTCCAGAAACTTTTCTCGCGTCAGATGAAAAAAAATTAAAATAATCAATATAATCAATATATAATTAATTGATATTATTAAATGCTAATAATGACCATGATTATTACTTACTAATTTTCGTTTTATATCTTATAGATCATGAAAAAATTTAATTGAATTTCATATATTTAAAATGTTTAAGATGATTATAGATCATAAAAGTTTTAATATTTATGATGCTTTGCTATTACGTAAGGATATCAAGTATCTTTATCAAAATCTATACGGTGAATAATTACTACTCATGAGCAAAGCAATTACTAAAGAATAAATCATCTAGATAAAGGAATTTCGATGAAAGTTTATAAAATTCAATTTCACCAATTAGCTCTTCTTCTAGCCCTTTCATTTCTGACAAACCTCTTTTTCCATCCCATCTTATTAAATTGGGCTACTTTCCTAGCTTCAAGTATTTCCTTTCTATCTTTTGATAAAGGAGCAGCTTGTCCAACGAATAATGGACTGCATTGAAACTTTTTTGCCAATTCGTTACACGTCCATTTTTCAGGATCTGAAAGTCTTAATTCTCTCATTTCGTTTATCTCATCTTCAGTAAGTTTGTGATGATTATTTTCTTTTGGTGGTTTAAGTGGAGGTGGTAATTTATCCATTGCAACCGTTGGTTTAACGAGAGGAACTCGTGATATGAACTTACTTCCATCATCAAGAATTGTTTCATAATAAATCGGTGCATGTAATTTTGAGGGTTTAATTGGTTTTTTGGCAGTATATAAGCGAATGATTATCTGGTATTTAAAAGATATGATATTACCACCATATAATTTTGTCTTACCAAGTCTTGTGAATAACATTTTATTAAAAAAAAACAATTTGGTATTTTTATGATGAGTAGATTGATAATCAAAGTTATAATACATGTGATACGTTCATGTAACACGAAGTTTATCAACCATTAGTTTTTCCATGTTTGTTTTTTATCCAATAAGCATCGTCAATTAAAAAATCTTTAAAATTTCTATGAAAAAAAGCCATTGGTCAAGAACAAGAACAAATTATTATTACAAATTCTACTGCCATTAATATAAAATTACGAGTGAGACATTTTTTATATCTCCGCTAGTATTAGTTTTTATTATATAAAAAGATTATACGTAATGAATACTAATTATTACTTATTTTTAGTAAATGACATTTAGTGATTTATTTAATGAAAAAAAAAGGTCTGTACAGGTTTTATCAAACACCCGGTATATATGATATGTAATTCCGAAATCATAAATACGTTATATAGATCTTATCATTGATAGCCAATTTTTGTAGATCATTATTGGCTAATCGAAATTTATCGAAATTAGGGTTCGGAATCCACCCAACCCTAACCTTAAAAACGAAAAATACAAAAAATCCATGTTTAAACTTATCCTAGAATACTAATAACTAATAAAACAAATAGTCATAAACGGCTTTTAGCGCTCCTCTAATATCAGACTTGTCTTTAATTTTATTTAATAATCGATATATAATTACAGCGCCACTTCTTTGCTTTAACCCTCCTTACAAAATCTATTAGCTTTATGACTCACGACTTCATATTAGTAGCCTATATTATAGTCAAATTTCTTTATTAGTTGGGATTACGAAGAATAAGTTTTTACAGCATAAATTAGATTTTAATTGATTTATTGTGCCTATAGGCAAAACCTAAACGCTTAAACATCTAACTTCCGAATTACTTCGCAAGACATTAACTTTCTAATTTTTTTGTCTTACCCTTTCTGAATTCGTACTAGTGACAGAAAATCGTTACTTTAATAGGACCTTATTATGATACGTAACAGATAAGATGATCTGCAAAAATCAACCAATAATTATAAAGCCCGCTATGCTACCTCCATTGGCTTTTTTTTCCCTTAACGTATGGCAAAATTGCTGTAGGAGATTAAAAAAATATACCTATACTAGACGATATTCCGAAATAGACACATTCTCTATTTAGTATTGGTGTATTGTAAAGGATACAAGTTCAATAAAATGGTCTAAATCGCATATAGTCGCGAACGGATATGACAAGCTTGTATAACAGATCAGAATCCTCCATATACATAATATAAACACTGATTTTTTCATGTTAGATTGAATACTAACTGAAAGAACAACTTGTTACTCTTCAGAAATTCACTTATGGGAGCCGAATCAAAACTTGCAGTAAACCTTCGAATATACCATTATTAATACAGATGTGGTTAAGATTTTCGTAAAAGATAACCAGCGGCCTTAACTTCATTAGTTAATTGCATAAACACGTAGATATAATATATATCAATATAGAGAGATACGTAAGGTGATCTCACGCTTTAGACAATTAATATGGCATGGTTATTTTATTATAAATACGATGCTGGACATCTATACCCGACAATCACGATATACTCGGAAGTTTCAAATTGTCAGTTTTTTTTTAAAAAAAAAATAAATAAAATAAAATAAAATAAATAAATGAACAAAAATTGTGGAAGAAAGGTATCTATCTAAAAATAGCTCGATAACTTTGTAAAAAATAAAGATACATATTAATCAATACACTAGACTTGCGCAACTATCCGTTGTACGTCGGAATGGAATTATTTTAGATTTAGAAACTAACTTATTTTGAAACGGAATTCCGAAATCTTTTGTTGATTCTAAGTTTGATATTTGCATTGTAATAAATGTGTAATTGATGATGTAACGATAGTCAAGTTACATAATAAAATTGTCAAAATATTTAAATGCAAATTTATTGTTATTGTTTTTATTCTTTACAACTCTTTCTATCCGATGATCGAATCGCTTTTTTTTTTTTTTATGTTAAGCTAGCCTTTTAGGTCCGATTTATTTCAACTCCAAAATCAGTTAATCATAAATCAAAGATCGTAAAAAAATTCTTCACTTAAAAAATTATTACAAAGCGAATTTTCATGATAACAACCTTTTTCGCTTAAAAAATTATTACAAAACGAATTTTCATGATAACAACCTTTTTAACCTACATTGAGTCCATAATTAAATGTATCAAAAATTATAAATTTTCCATATTTAATTAGAGGTCAGAAGTATCGAATTCATCCTTAACCCATCGTAAAATGACCAACCCATTCAACTCTTTCTAAAACACCCTAATATTTAACAAATAGTGTTAGTGCTTCTTTTTATAGCTTAATATACCCGATTTATTTGGTTTTTATTGGTGTTTAAATACTATAGAAGCCCTTCTATTACTTTTTAGCGTCACTTATGAGCAAAAATTCGTGTAACAATTTATCTAAAAAGGGTCCCAGAGATCATAATAAAATTCTAGATGTAACAAATCGAGTGTTTACCGGGTTTAATGTGCACTAACCAATCAAATGAATGTTATATAACTGAATACCTACAATTTTGGTTGGAGTAAATCATTAATTACTATATTTGATAGCAAAACAATACATATTAACAAAAGCATTTAAGAATTATTTTTGATTTAATATTTTCTTAAACTATTTGTTATTTTTTTCTTTTTATATATTCAAATCTTCTTACTACAACTTAAAATCTTTTATTTTAAATTAATCAAATATAATGCGTTTTATTATATTGTTTTCTAAACATGAATCCACCATGAGTATGGGTTGCTCAAATTTATTTAAAAAATTTAATTTTAAAAATTAAATAATTTAAAAAAAGTTAAAAAAAATTATTTTATATTTTTTTTCAAAATAAAATTTTATTTTGTAAAAACTTTTTTAAATTTTTTTTTAATATTAATTAGCCTCTTTGGATTTAGGTTTTTATTTAAGTTTTTGGATAGAGAGGCTTGTAGCTTTAGCTTCAATGAAGTTTTTTTTAGATTAAAGAGTATAACTAGCTACATATGCAACTTTTGGTTGTTTATTTAAATAGTCTGCATATTAGTATTATATTATAAAAACTATATTAGATGTTATACTTATAATCCAACTAGGGGATTATCTATTTAAACTTTCTGTAATATAAACTTTTTTTTGTATCACTAGTATATCACCAGTATATTTATCAATTGAGAAGTTTTAGATGCTTTTTCTATATTCTTAAGACTAATTTATCTTCAAAGCATCATTGTTAGAGCTTTTCATACTCACAATCTAGCTAATCTAGACTTCAGTAACTTATATTAAGTCTGAGAACAAGTACTTGTGAGCTAAAGCTGCTACTATTACCTACTTTTGCTATACTAAATCACCACACCTTTTTTAAACTTTTTATTAAAAATTACTTAATACCAAAAAAAATATTATTAAACTTTTTTAAAAAATAAGATAACTAAATAAATAAAAGCACTAAAGTAGTATTTTTATATAGTTGATTTTTTTATTTATTATTAATTTTTTAATAGCAGAGTTGCAAAGTTTATAGAGTTTGCCTACCTATTCTATAAAACATTTATTATATATTATATATTGTAATTAGAGTTGTTATATTTATATTTTTTCCTATTAACTTTCAATTCTATTCATTTTTTTATTTTTTTATTATAAATTTTAAATATTAAATTTTACTAATTAAATATAAAAATATTTAAATTTATTACTTTATTTATACTTTTATAAGTATATTTTTTATATAATATTCAAAATTTTATTATAATAAATAAATAATTTTATTTATATATTATAAAAATTTGATAAAAATTAATTATAAGGCCATACAAACTTAATAAATCAGTTCTCATAACCTGGCTGGGTCAAATTTTACAAAACTTTAAAAAAAAATTTAAGTATATTTACTATCTGGGTGGGTTTTTCTAAAAAATTTATAAAAAATTTTATATGTTCTTTATATAGAAAAT